GTATATATATATATATATATATATATATATATATATATATATAAACATACACACACAATTACGCACTTTTGTACGTCACACAGGCTTTCACGATCTCGGGGACAAATTTCGACTCTTGCATCTCGTTTGCTTTGCTGCTGCCGTCGTCGCCCTTGCCTTTCTTGCCCTTATCCTTGCCTTTCTTCCCCTTTTCTTCGCCTTTCTTCCCCTTTTCCCCTTCCTGCTGTCGATGCAGTAACAAAAGCAAAGTCGCAAGGTTTAGAAAACGAGATTAGAAAACGATAAGAGACTTTCACAAACAACAGATGGCTTCTATGATGCTTACACAATCGTCACATTCGCATTACATTGCGCACGCACGCACGCACATACACGACACACATATGCACACATGCACGCGCGCACACACACAACGCACACATACACACCCACACACCCGCACACACACAACGCACACATACACACCCTCCCGGCCCCCCCACTCCGAGGTCGGAGGGACCGCATGCGCGTTCCCAAAATCTCCGGTAAAGGGGTATTTTTCGCGCGACAAAATCAGGCCCAAGAATTGTAAAAAAGGGGGTGTATTTGACTTTTCACCCGGATATTTCTTTAAAAAGGGGGTGTTTTTCCTCTCTCTTTCATCTTGAATATCATAGAAAACTTTATCAAATCCCGGGATCAAATTCCTGAAATTCTGGCTAGTTTTGAAAGCTCATTCAGGATTATTTAATTTTGAAATGTAAAAATATTGCCCCCTAGTTCCCCTCAATCACTGAACTCTACACTACGTAATGTAGACTGGTTCAACAGTTCCACACGCTACACTAACGTCACTACGGTTGGAATGAGAGCTCACCTGAGATAGGGGGTACATTGAGCAGTGTTCCAGATTTAGGGGGGTCTCCAAGGCAGGAAAAACCCGCAAAAAGCCCGCGAAAGGGGGGTTCAGAAATTTGAGCAGTCCTGAGATAGGGGGTGCTTTCAAAGGGAGGGAACGAGCATATGCGTACCCTAAATAACACTGAGTGGGGGGGCCGGGACACCCACACACCTGCACAAACACACATGCACACACATACGCGAACACACATACACATGCACAAACACACCCGCACAAACACATACGCACACACGCACGTGCACACACATACACACCCACAAACACATACGCACACACGCACACACAAGTACACATACATACAACACACAAACATGCGCAGTGAAGGCACTAGGCATTGAAACTGCCAAAACAATTCATATGCTCTGCTCAGAAATTAATTTCGATCAGACGATGCACACCCCTGCCTGCTCGCTGTCAAGTTCATCCGGTTTCTTTGTGCAGAATATTGATGCCGAGCCTCCGTCCTCCACATCCGGATATTCGGGGAACTTTCCCGTCTTGTCTCTGAAACGTAGAGCGAAGAGGTTTCACATCCCGTTCTCATCCAGCTTCAACTTCACTCTCACTCCACTCTCCTCCCATTTTCACCGTGTTATCCTCCCCTACCCACTCCACTCTCCTCAGTTTCTCATGATACTTTTCCCATTCATATTCGAATTTCCTCCTATTCTCATCCTCTTCTCTAATTCTAATTCTAACCCAAGTTCTGACCATAACCCTAACACTAACCCTAGACTGAATTCCAACTCCCACCCTTAATTCTAGTCCTAACCCTAACCCTGACCGCCACCCCCACCCTGACCGCCACTCCAACCCTGATCGCCCCTGCTACCCCGACTGCAATTCCCACCTCAACCCTGACGGCGACCCCACCCGATCCTGACCACGACCGCCACCCCATCCCACCCCCACCCTTACCACGACTGCAACCCCCCCCCCCACTCTACCCTGACCCCCACCTCGACCCCCTATTCCGACCCAGACCCGACCTCGACCCCACGCGCGCGCGCGCTCACCTGAACTCGAGCATCCACTTGCGTATCTGGTCCTGCATGGCCTCCCGCATGTCGGCACCCTCCTGATGCCGGATCATCTGCTTGATGGTGTCGAGCGCCTGCTCGTAGTCGCGCTCGTACTGCGCCTGCAGAGCGCGCCGGTTTGCCTCGATCTTACGCGCGACGTGCTCCGGCGTCTGCGCGCCGCTGCTGGACGGCGGTGGCGGCACCTGGTGGCAAGGCTCGCGAGCGTTAGCGACGCGTGTTATGGTGTAGCGTTGAGGTCAGGATTAGGGTTGGGAGTTAGGGTTAGGGTTGAGAGTTAGGGTTAGCGTTGAGGGTTAGGGTTGAGGGTTAGGGTTAGGGTTAAGGGTTAGGGTTAGGGTTGAGAGTTAGGGTTGAGGGTTAGGGTTAGGGTTTAGGCTTATGGTTGAGGGTTAGGGTTAGGGTTGATGGTTGGGGTTGAGGGTTGGGGTTAGGGTTGAAGGTAATTAGGGTTGCAGCTAGGTTTAGGATTAGGGTTAGTGTTTGTGAAAATCAGTACGACTATTTCTGATCTGTTAACACAATTAACAAATTAACAATTAACAAATGGTCTCAGTGCCTCTGCTCACCATTCCCAGAAATATGAACTCCAGCTCTTTCTCTTTCCTTGCCATCTTTCTCCCCTGGTTACCTCTCCACACCTGTTAATATGTATATATGGCATATATATATATATATGAGTAATGAGTGTATATATGAATGCACATCTACATGCATGCACGCACACACACGCAACTACATACGCGCACACACATGCACGCACGCACGCACACGCACACGCACACACACACACACACACACACACACACACACACACACACGCACACACACATACACACACACACAGCGACTGTGATTAAATATCACCAACAAAAACCTTCTGTATCTTGGTCGCGGCGACGGCGATGTCGATCGTGGGCGCGCCGTGCTGCCTCCTCTTCTTCTCGCGCTCCTCCCTCTTCCTGATCTGCTGCATGAACTTCGCCCTGAGTCGGCCCTGGCGCGCGCGCTCGTGGATCTGTATCATCTGTATCGCATCCTCCAGCGTCATCTTCGGCTCCAACTTTTGCAACTGCAGCAACGCAGACATCGACTGTCACTGTCCGCTGTAGCGCTCGCGGAGGCTACGTCGCTTTTCCCGGCTCACAAGGAGATGCGAATTTTTTTCCGCACGGGAAAAATGTCTTAGAGAATTTACCCCCGGCGTTTCGTCATCGAGGAGCGCTTGCATGTTTTTTGTCTAAAAATATTTCCCCGATGCATACGTCGATAACATTTGTCGTGTCTGAGTATGAGATGTAAGACGTGAGGCGAAAATATGATAGATGCCGTGGGAAAGAGGAAGGAGGAATTCCATTTGGTTCATTTGTGGGTGCATTACTGTCAGTGAAATGACAATCAGAATGCGTAGAGGTCACTATGACTGCGGGAATCCTTCTGATGCCCGACAAAGACCTTTTTGTCTGGGAATCCAAGCCGCTCCAGATGGTCCGTGATGATCTTCTCCCTCTTCTGCAACTCATTCTGACGCTCCCTCACAAAGTATCGTGGCACAGGGATATCTATCTGTTCCTGTAACGAATTCAAGGCGGGGACTGCTAAACACAAGAGGGAATTTCATGAGATTATTTTATAGATTCGATTACATTACCAATACAACAGAAATCAGTGACATCTGATAATCAAATATACCACATGAACATAACACAATCATGGTTCACAATTGCTCAGAAAGTTCTGTAATACTACTAGAGCACGAATCGTGTGTTTTTAGAAGCAAGTCTTCAAGAATTTCTCGTTTAAAAAAAAACCTTCCGTCCACGCAATAACAATAATGATACTACCACTACTATGGCTCGCAACCTATACTATATCGTATTCTTGTACACATTCTATGACAGTTATATATAGACAGTTATTATATAGATACTTGTTCGTTATAATAGTGATTATAGCAACCTACCGGTGCGAGCTTCAGATCGGAGAGAATGTCGTCGAAGAATTGGAACTCGGACGAATCTATGCTCACCATCTCATCCTTCAGTTCCACAATCCGTCCCATGACTCCCTCTAGAACGTTCCTCAGCACACGCCTGCATCGGCCGGGATAAGTGAAAGTAAGGCAACGACACAAAAAACGTCGAAAACAGAAGATAGCAAGGCAATTGACCTATCTGTCTGGCATGCTTGACCGGCAGGGCCAGCCAATCAACGTTGTATTTGGACCTTCTAAAGACAATACTTGGCAATGAAATGCTGCAAAGTCAATAGTTTGGCATGCCCGCATGAAAAACAGTCAAAGTGGTCAAGTTTGATCAACATGGCAACAATATCGAAGGGGGGTGTGGTTGCTAAAAGATAGATAGAGACAGACAGAGCAAATTTGTACTCTACATTTGTAATCATTTCTGCATATTACATGTCTCCATATATTTGTGTGGTACTTAGGCCACATTCTGGTAAAAAAAATCTTTGGTTTACTGGAACCAAAACCAGCATTATTAGATTGAACTCAGGAGTGGCGGAACCAGGGCACTTGCCCCCCCAAAATTATTATTATTATTATTATAATTATTAATTTATTTCTTTTTTTTATGTATTATGTTGACTTCTTATGTTTTAATCATGTTCTGTTAATTATGTTCATATGTTATCTTCAATAAGTACATACAGAGCGTCTGTAATAGCCGTAACCGGTGTTTTTACCGCCTATCGCCGCAATTGTTACCGGCTATCAATTTGAGAGAAACTCCCACTAAAGGCGGTAAAATATTTAATCCATATTTTGAAAAAAACGAAGTTATTATTAAATACTTGGCAGATACTTATAAAATAAAGAGGAAATACACTGTTACCTGGACTTTTACTTGACATTTATGATTTTTCTTTTTTAATAGATACTTTTAATCAGCCATATATATTTTTGTCGACTGCAAGCCCTGCCCCAGTGCTGACAGACCACCGTGTGCCATGCGTAAATCTGATATAAATACTTCACTACGCTCTCCAGCATCGCGCGACGATTCCCGATCCCAGCTCATGCTAAATGTATTGGCGAAATGGCGCTGCCAACGTTGGTCACCGTTGACTGGCATCAGAATTTCCTTCGGCCGTTTCTTATACGTTTCGACTGAAGCCGGCGCAGGCTGACAGCACGTGTGCCATGGTAAAACTCTGCATATAAAATATTCACGTTCGCCTCCAGCAGCGCGCGACGATTCCCGAATCCCAGCTATGCTAATGTCATGGTCGCGAATGCGCCCTGCAGACGTTTGGTCGACGTGGACTGCGCAATAGAATTTCCTTCGGCCCGTTTTATACGTTTCTCACTGAAGACCGGGCAGGCTCGAACAGCACCGTCTGCATGCGCTAAAAATCTGATATAAAAATATTCACTTCGCTCTCAGCAATCGCCGCCGCACGATTCCGAATCCCCCATGCTATCGCTAATTGTATGGGCGAATGGCGCTGCACGTGTCAGACGTCTGACTGGCAATAGGAATTTCCTTCGGGCCGCGTTTTATACGATTTCGACTGAAGCCGGGTCAGAGTCTGACAGCCTCGTTGTGCATGCGTAAAATACTGATATAAAATATTCACTTCGCCTCTTCAGCCATCGCGCGACGATCCCGAAAATCCCAGCTATGCTAAATGCTATGCGCCGAATGGCCGCTGCCCCAACGTTGGTCGACGTTGGGACTGGCAATAGAATTCCTTTCGCGCGCTTTTTATACGTTTCGACTGAAGCCGGGCAGGCTTGACAGCCACTGTGTGCATGGTAAAATCTGATATAAAATATTCCACTTCGCTGCCTTCAGCACGCCGCGACGCATTCCCGAATCCCCAGCTATGCGTAATGTATGGCGTCCTGCGCAATGGGCGCCTGCCAACGTTGGCGACGTTGACTGCGCAATAGAATTTTGCTGTCGGCCGTTCTTATACGTTTCGACTGAAGCCGGGCAGGCTGACAGCACGTTGCATGGAATCTGCATATAAATATTCACTTCGCTCTCCAGCATCGCGCGACGATTACCGAATCCCAGCTATGCTAATGTATGGTCGCGAATGGCGCGTTGCAACGTTGGTCGACGGTTGACTGGCAATAAGAAATTCCTTCGGCCTTTTTATACGTGTTCGACTGAAGCCGAGCAGGCTGACAGCACGTGGTGCATGCGTAAATCTATATAAAATATTCACTTCGCTTCAGCCATCGCCCAGCTGACTTAATTCCCGAATCCAGCATATGCTAATGTATGGTGCGAATGGCGCTGCAACGTTGGTCGACGTGACTGCGCAATAGAATTTCCTTCGGCCGTTTTTATACGTTTCCGACTGAAGCGGGCAGCGCTGCACACACGTGGTGCATGGTAAAATCTGATATCCAAATATTCAACTTCGCTCTCAGCAACGGAGCGACGATTCCCGAATCCGCAGCTAATGCTAATGTATGATCGCGAATTGCGCTGCCAACGTTGCGTCGACGTGTGACTGGCAATAGAAATTCCTTCCGGCCGTTTTATACGTTTCGACTGAAGCCGGGCAGGCTACAGCACGTGTGCATGGGTAAAAATCTGATATAAAAGTATTCCACTGCGCTCTCAGCCATCGGCGCGACGATTCCCGAATCCAGGCTATGCCCTAATATATGGCGCATGGCGCCTGCAACGTTCGGCTCGACGTGGACTGCAGCAACTCAGAATTTCCCTTCGGCCGTTCTTTTATACGTTTCGACTGAAAAGCCGGGCAGCGGCTGACAGCCACGTGTGCATGGTCTTATTAAAAAAAAAAAAAAAAAAAAACTAATCTGATATAAAATATTCACTTCGCTCTCAGCATCGCGCGACGATTCCGGAATCCCAGCTATGCGTAATTTATGGCGAATGGCGCCTGCCCAACGTTGTGCTCGACGTTGACCTGCGCTCAATTAGCAATTTCCTTCGGCCGCTTTTTTATTACGTTTCGACTGAAGCCGCCGCGCAGGCGACAGCACGTGCTGCATGCGTAAAATCCTGAATAAAATATTCACTTCATCTCT